ATTCGAAAAGAAAAGAGCCTTGCGGGTAGGACTGTAAAGCATGCAGTGGATTATTTCATGGTTCATTTGAATGAACATGCACTCTCTAACAGAAGAAAAATGAAAATCACCCATGATTAAAACACACCTTCTGGACGCCCCATTTATCATTAAAATAAAAACAAAATGGAAAACAAGAAAAGCTGCAAAGAGGGCCACCTGAATGAAAGAAACTTGCAAAAAGTTTCAACACAGCTAACAGTTGCGAATGAAAAGCAAGAACATTCCAGCATAGGGGAAGGAGATGTGAAAGAAATGAAGGGTGCTGCAAGACACTGCAAAGGAAAAGAAAACAGAGAAAATGACATTAAAACAAAAGAGCATCTTCCACCCATGTTAAATAGTAGAACTGCTTTTCTAATCTACCTAGTTGATTGTTTGGAAGTGGTCATTAATATTCATGTTGCTGCTTAGAAGGGGATTCCAACTCCGTTCTCTCATTTCCTTCTTTTTCTGAGATGGAGTGGGTTTCATTACCTTGCTTATATCTGCCTAACAAAGGAGGAATCGTGAGTGGAAACAAAAATAAAAGGAATTAACAACTTAGCATTGGGCACTTTTTTTTTTTTTTTTTTTTTTTTTTTTTTTGCTTTGAAAAGTGCATGTGACACTTGAGTATAGAGAGTTTGTTGATAACTTGTGTAGTAGTTATCATCCCACTCTCCAGAGGGAGGGTGATCCTGAATGAAATGAAGACAACAATTGAGAATTAAATGATAGGAGAAGCTATCATTTTCCACGTGTCTACATACTAGGTGAGATGCGGTTTACTCTTCCTAATGAGCTGAGTCTTGGAGGAAAAATGAAATACCATTTTCGCTGTTGGTGCAGTTTGCGTTCATCCGAGGGGAAACCCAGGCATCTCACACGCCGTGGTTCCTGAATCCTGACTTGCAATTGCGTTAAGCTCAGTAGAAGAGGAGGACCATACCTGGTCTTTTCTCACGACGTCACTTTCTGTCTCACGGTTCTGCTGCTGGTGCTGCTGCTGCGGCCGCTGCTCTTGAGACGTTGCTGGAGTGAGGCCGTTGTTCGAGTCGAATTTGCACAAATCAATCCCACTAATCCACCACGACGCGGCGTAGATGATCTGAGTCACGCAGCGTAATTCCTCCATGGTACGTGGGGAGTAGATCAGGACGAAAGTAGGAGGGACGAACCGGAATTTCCACCACCAGCTTTCTCGAGCAAGGGGGTGGCGCTCCCCCCATCCCTTTTCGATAATGGTTTTGACGTCTGCAGGGTGGAGAGTGAGGTGCATGCTACCATCGTACGCGTGAGAATGGCAGATTTCCCCATTGCATGTCAAATGGCTTTGGCATCGAGGTAGGGAGAAGAGACCGGTGTTATGCTTTTCGAAGCGGGAGATCCCCAAAAACAAGCTGTCCGGGTGGCGGAGGGATAATTCTTTAATTGTTGCTGTCAATGCGGCATAAATAGCTTTCGGGCCGCGGTCAGTCATCTGCCGCTGCGGAGCAATCCCAACGACTTCTGGGCGACTACCGATTCGCTTGGGCAGGTCATTCAGAATCCCGCTCTGAGGATGAATGTATGACGGGATGGGCGGAGGGTTCAGAGGATTACGCAAGGTAAAGATACGTAACATGCAGATGCGAAGATAGCCGGCAGGGGTGGAGGGCGTTCCGCCAGGCCCAAGTGCAAGGAAATCATGGTATCCCTTGCGGACCTTTCGGGCGAAAGTGGTCAGGCAGAGAGCGACGACGGTCAATAGGGTGATAATGGGAATGGAAGATACAAGGGGATCTTGCCAGGAGTGCGCGGTAGACTGGTTTGCATGC